GGCCGCTGAGTGGGGACGACCTGCAGGGGGCGACACAGGAAGAGCCCTGGAAGGGCCAGGACCCACGCCCAAGGAGGTGAGGCTGTCCCTGCATCCCTGCGCGGGTCTAAGGAGCGCTGCAGTTCCCCACAGCGCTCTAGGCTGTACTTTCCCAGGTGGTAGATCTGCGCCTCCAGGCTGGTGTGCTTAAAATCACCTTAATTTTATAGCCATGAGTCCAGGACAGAACCTCAGAACTATAGGGCTGGCTGAGCGAGGTGGCATAGGGCTGTAATCCCAGTGGCAGCAGGCTGAGGCAAGAAGATTGCTGGGAGTTCGAGGCCAGCCTGGACTACAGAGCGAGACCGTGTCTCCAAAAACAAACAAAACAACAACAACAAACACAAAACTCCACAGAGTAGAGATTCCAGGACCCCCACTGGGTACCTGAGTTTCCAAACAGCACCGACCCTATCTGTATTGTGAGTTTTGCCATATTTTACATATGTACCTATGATAAAGATTACTATAAATTGGGCACAATAAAAAATCAACAGCAATAGCTAATAAAATAGAAACATTTAAATCATATACTGTAATAAGTGTTAGGTAAACTATGATTTTCTTTCCCTCCCTCGCTCTTTCTCTCTCTCTTTCTCTCCTTCTCTACCTGTCTCTCTCAAAACTATGGATGAATGGAACAGAATAGAGGATAAAGAAACCAAGGCACATTCAGCCATCTGATCTTTGACCAAAGGACCAAAAACCTATGCTGGGGGAGAGTTAGCCTCTTTAACAGATGGGGCTGGGACAACTGTGCACAAGCAGAAGATTCAGTCTAGATCCATACCTCTCATCACGTACTAATATAAAATCAATATGGGTCAAACATTCAATGTTAGAACAGAAACACTTCATCTACTGGAAGATAAAATGGGAAAGACTCTTGAAAACATAGGCACAGGCAAGGATTTTTTTAAACCAAACCCCAATTGCACAAGAGGTAACACCAAGAATCAACACACAGGTCACATCCAGCTAAAAAGCTACACAGCAAAGGAAGCTACCAGCACAGTGAGGAGACAGCCTCCAGAATGGGAAGATGTCTTGTAGCTGTTCCTCGGTCAGAGGGCTGACATCTGGAATAGATAAAGAGCTCAACAAGATTAGATCCCCTCCAAATAAAAGACCCCCTGGATAAATGGGCGAGTGAAATGAACAGACACTTCTCAGAAGTACAAATGACCAATAAATACCTGAAAAAATGTTCCACGTCTCTACATAGAGAAATGCAAGTTGAAGCAACACAGAGACGCCCTCTTCCTCCACAAAGAAGGACTAAAGGAATGAGTGATCAGGAGTTTGCAAAATCTAATTCCCCACACCAAAGAGACTGAGAGCACAGGGAAGGTTCCTACCTTTTTTTTTTTTTTTTTTTTTGATAGCAGGAATCGAACTCAGGACCTTGCGCTTACTGAGCTAAATCCCCAACCCAGGGTTCCTACTTGCAGTTCTCCCAGGTGTTGCAATCCAAGGACCAAGGCAGCCAGCAGAGATGGAGCCTCAGAGAGGCCAAGGGATCCTGGCCTCGACTCTCGGTGAATGACGTGAAGGGAATAATTACGAAAATTTATATTTGAGATGAATAATGTTAGAGAATCACAGTTATTTTCTTCAGGGTCACCATGATAGTCTTTAAAATAAAATGTCATTTTTTAAGTGATGACTGCTGAAATATTTAGGAAAGATGACATCAATACCAACATTGATTTTCAAATGCTTCAGCAAAAATTGTAGAAGTATAATTTATGTACATGAACCAAGTGTGACAAAACACTAAAATAACTAGATCTACAGCAGCCATTGCACTGGTCTCTCACACTTAGAGATCTGGGAGCTCTCATCACCAGCAGGAAGCAGGCAGAGACTGGCAGATCGGGTCCTGTGATCCCCACGCCCCCAGTGACCTCAGACAGGGGAGACCCAGGAGCTGGGAGGAGGCGGGAGAGCAGACGGAGCAGGGCTGTGCACGGGTTGTGCAGAGGAGCACCCAGAACACTGGGAACCCAGGGAAATAGAGCCAGGCAGGGAGAGGACACAGGAGTCGGTCCTGGTGGGTGCCGCAGACAGTGGGCGGGGCTGGCCACTGAGCCCCACTTCCTAAAGGTCCACAGCACCCGCAGATGCTGCCACCCCTTGAACCAAGCCTTTACCTGCGGATCTCTGGGGGACACCGGAAGCCGACTGTGTTGGGTGGGTGAGTATGGTGTTAATATTATCACTTAGTTATTGCAGACTGATCAGGCCCACAATCTCCCGAGTGAGTGGATGGTGAAGGCTTACATAAATGAGACAAATGAAATAATTTCAGGGCTCCAGGAGATTCCAAATCCTCTACCACAAGTCCGGATTCTGGGAGCTAAGACCAAGAACCTCCTAGGCAGCCCCTATTTATTGTGTTATCAAACAAAGGAGGGGAATACTGAAGAAAATGCAGGAATCTGGGCAGGACTTAGGAATCCCTCTGAGGACATCTCCAAGTAATACATTATGTTAATTTAGGAGAACTGCATTACCTTCAGGAAGGCCTCCACCACAGGAGCAAGAGGTCTGCAGCTGCAGTCTCCTCTTAGTGCGCTGTTTGGAGCCAAATGTCCTGAGCTGTGGCCTTACCTTGTCCTTTGAGGCGTCCCAACTTCACAGGCCAATACAGGCCTCAGGGGGACCAGTGACTCATAGAGGTTCACTTACTGTGCTCCTGCTCAGAGCCACTCCCTAGCGGTCTCCACTAGGTGAGTGTGTTAGCCTGTGAGGCCATGTATTTATTCATTTATTCACTCCACGAATATCCTTGCTTCCTGCATCTTATCTTCCAGAGGAGACTATTGCTAACAAAATCAGTATTTCCTCACGTGAGTAAGGGGCTGTGATCCAAAGCCAAGCAGGAGATGAGGGGAGCTGCGGGCCGCAGCAGGCGGCAGGCCAGGAGGGCGCCCGCAGGGACAGGGGAAGCCTGGCGGGCAGGTGAGCTCCGGGAGAGGAGCCTCCGGCTGGGGCAGCTGAGCCGGGCCGGGATACCTGCCTGGGCTGCAGGAGCAACCGCGCGTGGCCCAGCCTCATGGTCCCAGACCTCCTCGGTGTAAACTGGGAGGTGGGAGACAGGGTCTGCAAGGACAGGTAGCACAGTTCCCAAAAACCCTTCAAGAAGCTCCACAGGAATTGCAGGGCAAATTTCCTCCCTCCCGGGCCCCAGGCCCCAGGCCCCAGTCCGGGAAGAGCACGCTGCAGTGTCTCCTGTGAGTCCTAAAAAGCAGTGTCGCGAATGCTCCAGCACCTGCTCCAGTTGGGAGCCCGGGAAACAGGGAAGGAGAAGGTTTCTGCTCTCCGGGGGCTGGGGTGTGGTCATCTGGGGTTGAAGGGATGGCAGGGAGGAGACAGGAACCCCAGGGAGGGCAAAGGGCTCCTAAGCGCACCTCTCCTTCAGCCTCCGCATACTCTCGACCTGGCCCGGGGAGACTCCAGGGCTGCTCAAAATCCGCCCCATCTCCCACTGCGCCCAGCCCCGGGCAGCTTCTCTGCCTGATGCCCGGCTCCGCCCCTGCGCCCAGCCGGGATCCAAGCGCGGTGTGATTGTGCCCCCGTGTGGACACGCGGCTGAGAGCAGGACGCCAGTTCTGGTCCCTCCCACTCAGCTGGGACCACAGAGGTCTCACAGGTGGGGGCACCAAGAAAGGGCTCCGGAACCAGGGAGGTGACACCTTCGTATGTGAGGTACAGGGTCTGACCCGATTCCCAAGACCTCGTCCAGTCCGTGACCACAGGGCAGAGGGAGGTCCCTGGCCCACAGCCACTGGTACCCAGGTCCAGGGTGGACCCACACATGCACGAGGGCCGTCTCCGGGGTGAGTCCTTGGACTACAAGTCCCTGTCTCTTGTCCACTTCGGCTCCAGGGCTGGGGTCCCCTCCCCCTGGGGTCAGTCCGTTGAGTCTCTAGCCTGGGGTCTCAAGGAGAAGCCCTCTCCCAGGTCCATCTTCATACGTTCCACACGAAGGCTGCGGGGTTACCCCAGTCCTGCCGATCCAGTGGGCACTGCAGGGGCCGTCAGCATAGTGGCCTTGGGTGGCTCTGCAGCCCCTTGACCTTGTGGACGATGCTTCTCACGTCGCATTTGTCCCCGGCTGAAGGCAGGGCCCTCCCAAAGCAGAGGCCAGAATTTCCATCTGCATGACCCATGCACGCTACCAAAACTCAAGAGAACTAAAAGTAAACATGCACAGCAACACAATCCTTGGTGATCTAATTCCCTTCTTCCTTCCTTTCCACGATTATGAGATTCACAGCTCATCCAACACATTTCCGCTGACCCACAGCCCCACACTTTCTTCCGCTCTCACAGATGAGCACAGCCTCAAGTCGGGCTCCAGGGCCCCAGGCTACCTACTAGGTATAAAACTGGGGGTTAGTTCACTTCGAAGTTTATAACCTAAACCAGAACTCAGAGAGCTGAAATGCCTGCTGTTCAAGAATTGTTATTGGAGTAGCACTGAGATTGTCCTGCAGAAATCTCACTTGGAGCTTTTTTCCTGAACGTGTCTAACCTCGCTGTTAATTAGAAACGAGGTTTAGCCTCGGTGTCAGTTGTGGGTTGCCTGACCTCACACCGCCTGGATAGTATACCTGCGACAGCAGCAGTTTGGGCCTTGGATTTGTCAGTAGACTGTAAGCCACGCGTGCAATATGGACATGAGTTACCCACAAGCCTGTAACTAAGAGATGTGACAGAAAACCATCTGCCCGAGAACTTCTACAGGAGCTGATGGTTCTTTACCACTGGATGTGAGAACAGGACAGCAAACAGAGAACAGCAGGTCTCTGGCCTCATCTACTGGCACTTCTACCCCAAGTTAGAGAAGCACCAACCCCCAGGATTTCTGCCTGCCTTGCTCCTGGCCCCTCTTCTATGACGGGGGCTGTCTTCCTTGCAGATCCTGAGCGGGGTCCCACAGACTGGGAACTAGGGAGCAGCCTGTCCGGTACCCAGAAATCCTGGCTTCTGAGGCAGGTTTTTCCAAGGATCTTCCCTTTCCTAAATGACCAAACCTGAGACCATCCATCCTTCAGTCACCTGTGTCCACAAGGCCATGCCCCAAAAGGACACTCCTGGGCACACTGCAGGCAACTCAGCGTCAGTACACGAGGTTCTCATGCAAACGTGTATACGAGTCTGTGTACAAGATGTACACAGATGTGTACAAGATGTGTACAAGATGCAGAGGAAGTGCTCACTGCCTCACCGTCTGACACCTGGCTCACGTCAGCGTCCAGGGTGCTCAGACCTACTAAGGGCGGCAACCCCCACGACACGCACTTCCAGACCAGGACAGAGACCAAGGCTGTGCTGGGGAGGTGAGTTGAGGAGCAGCAGTGAGTACTGCAGCCAGGCCCGATGAGCTCTCAAGGTGGATGTGGACACAAACCCTCCCGGCTCTTCCACCACCAGCCATGCAGCCCTGCAGCCCTAAGCACATTCAGCCTGGAGCCGCCCACAGATGCCACCCACTGAGCAGAGTGACAGCACCAGAGCCAGGTCACCTGCGAGCCAGCCCGATGCCCACACCACCCAGCGGGAGAAGTCACACAAGACAGCGCTGGGCGAGAGACGCAAGGGGCGGTAGGCTGGACACCGGCATTCTGAAGTTCCCTCTACACTGGCAGAAACCTGTCTTCTGCCTGGAACTCAAGTCCCGGGGCTCTGAGCAGGAGGGAAGGCGGGGCAGGCAGGGGCCGAGCCTGGCAGGGGAGCACTGAAGTGAGGCCAGGCCTGCAGCAGGCCGGGTCTCCATGGCTGTCGGGCACTCAGCTCCCTGCCTCACCGACCATGGGCAGGGGGAGGACCATGGCTGGTGAGGCAGGGAGCTGAGTCTGAGACCAGCCACAGTCCTCCTCCCTCTGCCCATGTCACTAGCTGCAGTCACCTTCGCCTTCTGTGGCCCACCTGGCCTTGTCCCCCAGGAACCCCAGTGCTGCTATTCCCAGAAGCCAAGGCCAGCATGGAAACAGACCAGCTCCACAACTCTGAGATGAGCTCACCTCCCAGGGTAAGTGGCACCAAGGGCGAGGGGTGGAGGTTTGTGCTAGCACAGGAGTGGGAAGCCCCTCGATCCCTGCTGAACCTCCACCAGCCAGGGCTCCTTGCCTAGTTCTCGGCTCCATGCTTCACCCTAATGCCCCACCCCGACTCACAGCTGCCTCCCCACTCTTTCCCCAGGTGCAGTGGCGTCCTTCCCCAGGGATTTCTGCCACATGTAGCCATTCATGACTTCTCAGAGGGGAGGGGCAGCCCAAGCGCAAACTTGGACAAGGAGCTGGAGCCCTGGGAGCAGTGAGGTCTCCCAGCCTGTGGCTAGGACAGGAAGCTGGGGCAGAGGTCAGGTGAAGGTGCTCCTGCAGCAGGAAGACTTCAAGATCTGCAGGACTGAGCAAAACTGTTTCAAAACTTAAAAAAAAAGCAAAAACTCTCAGTGCTCCCTGGGTCAATCCCAGTACAAGACCATCTCTCAAGGGTGTAGGCGGGACCTTCTGAGCCAGAACACAGCACAGCTTTCAAGGGATCTCACCCCATGCCCCGACAGGGACTGCTGCCCCAACACCCTCCACCAGGGACCCCAACCCGTGCCACCTAGGGCCCAAGCTGAGAAGTCCTGGGAGCAGCAGTTGGAGCCGCTGCAGGCCCTGCTTGAAGGGCAGGAGAGTTGGGAGCCCCAGGCTCTGCAGCTCAAGATGCAAACGCTGAAGCAGCAGAGGCGACGCCTAAGCTCCCTCCAGTGCCCACAGCCACCAGAAATAGCGCTCGCCACCCCAAGGCACCCTCCAGAGACCCCCAGCCAGGCCACTGAGAACCAGGAAGGCCAGGGTAGGAGAGAAACAGAGCCCCCCGCTCTGCAGGCCCAGCCCAAACCCACCCTGTCGTGCCCCACAGCAGGGTCCAGCGCTCACAGAATTGTCCCCTGGCTCAAGCCCGAATGCTTCACCATACACACAATGAAGGGTGCAGCACCTAAGAGATACCACAGACACATTCATGTTCATTTTTAGTTTTGTTAAAAAAATGCTGATAAACCGAGTTGGAGCTTAGGAGTGGTGGTGATGCAAAAGGAGAAGCCTGGGGCCAGGGCTGGCCAGGGCAGGGGCAGTAGTGCCGCCTCCACCCCCACGCCCACATCCTCTCCTGCACAGATCCTGGCACATTCTTCGAGGGCGAGTCCTCTACCGAGTCTGCTCAACTGAAGAGAAACACAAGTGTTAGAATAAGCACAGAGGGGCTGGGGACTTAGCTCAGCGGCACAGCGCCTGCCTGGCAAGCACAAAGTTGTGAGTTCGATTCCCGGTACCAGAAAAAAAAACAAAAAAAATAGAATAAGCACAGAAAGGCCGAACTCCAGGGAACGCAGGCTCGTACTGTACACGGCTGTGTATTGTGTGGGTTCCAGGACAGACCTGGGCGTAGAGAAAGGGAAACCATTTGACCACAGAAGGAAGGAAGGGTCCCTGCATGGAAGTCAACACATCCCAGCATGGCATCAAAGAGCAGGAGGCAGGAAGTGGCCACGTCCCATAATGCATCAGGTGCCCACTGTCTACACAAGGGACCCAGGACAAATACGCTCAGGACAAGGGCACTCTAAGGAGTGCGGGGACCTCTCCCTGGGGGCCATACTCACTGTAGGAGGAGATGTCTATCTCATCAGGCAGCTCGCTGATGTTGACCTCAAAGCGGTCCTGCACGTCATTGAGTATCTTGGCGTCATTCTCATCCGACACGAACGTGATGGCCAAGCCCTTGGTGCCAAACCGGCCTGCTCTGGCCACCTGTAGGCGACAAAGGGAACACTAGACGACCCAGGAGAGGGACGACACCCAGAGGAGAGGACATCAAGTACAAGGGAGCAGGTCACCCTGGTGTGCAGCTCACCCGATGCAGGTAGGTGTCAGAATCCTCAGGCATGTCATAGTTAAAGGCTATGTTCACCCGCTCGATGTCCATGCCTCGGCCGAACAGGTTGGTAGCCACAAGAATTCGGCGTTGAAAGTCTTTAAACTGCTGATACCGAGAAAGCCTTTGTGAGAAAGGAAATGAGAAAAATGGTTGAGTCCCTTCTTGGGCTGGCCCCTTGCCTGCGCAAGAGCCCCACGGCCTCCCGTCGCGCACACCTCTCCTCCTGGGGCATCCCGCGGTGGATGGCAATGGCTGGGAAGTTCTGCTCCACCAGGAGCTGGGCGAGTGCGATGCACCGCTGCACGGACTTCACAAATATCACCACCTGCGGGCGGCGTGGTGGGGCAGGGCCAGGAGGGGAGAGACGAGTTAGGAGCGAGTCTTCAGGAATTTTAGTTTTCTAAAAGATCCTCGGTCCCTCTTATTTTCCATCAGATTTCTTCCTCTGCGCTAGAGAGAATTTAACCTTTCTGGGCTCTGACTTTCCCCTAGCAGGCTGGCCCGAGGCAGTGTGAGGAATGGTAACCTGCACCGCCAGCCACGCGGTGCTAGGAGACGAGAGGAGGCTGCCTGATGGACGAACGTCAGGCATCAGAACGAAGGTCTGCAAAGACCATGACCGAAATTCCAGCTGACACAACTAACAGTAAGGGGCCCAGCTTTGATTCCAGAAAGCAGTTTTTAGTGCAAACGGACCACACAACAGGTAAAATGATGGAATGCTTTTCTTCCATAAGGAATAAAGCGGCCGGGGATATAGCTCAGCAGCACAGCGCCTGCGTGGCAAGTGCAAGGTCCTGAGTTCAAATCCAGGTACCAAAAACAAAACAAAATAAGGATTAAGTACAGATTTAAAAACTCTTAAGTGACCAAAACAGCTTTTTACACTGACTAAAACCCTTCCAGGATTTTACTGAGGCTTATTGAACTGGAGCTCTTTCTCACCCATGAATTTCAGTCACAGAACTGAGAAGATGCTTCTTCCACCTGGCTCACATTCAGGTGCCAAGAAATGTCCCCTCTGAAGCAGATTCTCCGTCACACATGCTGGTGCGGGCCTGTGACCCTAGCACCCCGGGAGGCTGAGCCAAGTGGACCACAAGTTTGAAACCAGCCGGACAAAACTCCAAAGGACTGGGGATGTACCTTGGTGTGCAAGCCCTGGGTTCAGTCCGCACACCATCAGGGTTAGGGATGCAGCTCAGTTAGGGGCTTGCCTGGTATGCACACACCATAGGTCTGATCCCCAGCACCAGAAAACACACAAGAAAATTCTAATATGTGGCCCCTCAATAAAGACTACTCAATACGCAGGTTTCTGCCGTAGCTGGAGAACGTTCCAGGCTCATCCCCTACCGGGCCTGGAACAACTGACCTGGTTGAACTCAAGAACATCCAGAAGGTCAAAGAGCTTGCGGTTCTTCTCGTTGTCCTTCAGTTTCACGTAGTACTGCTGCAACCCGTGCAGCGTCAACTTCGTCTCATCGTCCACGAAGATCTCCATTGGCTGAGGGGGAGGAGGGTGGGGGACGGGAGGAGGGCAGAGTGGGGGGGTTAAACCTGGGGGGGTGGAGGAAGCTGATCTCCAATACACCCCATGGGGGGATGGGAGGAGAGAGACTGGAAACCCCACCACCACCAAAAACACCCGCTTTCCCAGGGTCTCCTTCACACTCCGTCTCATCTGCTTCCCGTCAGTTGAGTTTTAAGAATGCCCAACTGAAAACTCATGGGAAAAAGAACTTCACAAAACAACAGCAGGGGAACCACCCAACACCAAGGGGCAGCATCTCCCACGGAGGAGGTGGAGGGCAGACAACAGTGGCAGAGGATGCACAAAGGCGGGACGTGATCCGAACACCCGAGGACCCTGGGAAACAGTACTCGGGTCAGAAACCTGCGTGGGAGAGAGCTCCAAGCCCGCGGGAGAGGCGAGGACTGCTCCATTTTACTTTCTCTCCACTACACAGTCTCACGCATTTAGGAAGTGGACATCACGATCAGAGGGTACAGTGCACAGTCAAAGTGCATCTCAAGAAGTAAAAATTCCTTGAGATGAGTCACAGCTTGCTCCCCGAGCACAAGCAATGGTGTGGATGACATTGGTCTCTAAGGGTAAAACCATCGACGGGTTTACAGGGAAAGTATCAGTAACTGGTGCTAAAGAAAAACAAATAGAGCAGCAACTACGCACCCATTAAAAAATAAAAACACAACCCTTGAAAGGAGTACAGAAAGTCAGGAACTGACACAAGCCAGCTCCAAGTCCTGACCTCCCTAGCCCTCCCTGCACCATCTTGCAGGACCTCATATCTTTGTACCATCTTAGGGGACCAAGATGGAAAAGGATGGCTCACAGGAAAAACTAGTCCAGTGCTTCAGCCGCTGAGCTATATCCCCAGCCCAACAGGAAAAACTAGAACCCTAGGGAGGCGGGCGGGCCAGCCAGGCCTTCCAAGGCGCAGTTCACACCTCATTCTGGCCCAGGCAGTTAGAGAACTTTATCATCAAGGGTAGAGGCTGTGGGGGGGCGCACCCCACTGCTCAGTAGCTGCCCACAGCCGCCCGCACAGCCACGCGGTTCCGGCTCACTGGAGCTCTGCACTGCACTCTCCCCACCCCTCTCCACTGAGTACTGAAAAGCAACTGTTTTAAAGAAAAAAAATCCACCACCCCACTTAGGACACCCCTCCCCAGCACGGATGGGGCACACGGGGCACAGCTCGTGTGAGGTTCAGGAAGAAAACCGGGCACAGAAAAAGAGCTGGTTTGGTCCTCGGCCTCCTGGTCAGGGTCCCCGCGGCCTCCACCGCCGCCGTCCACTGCTCGGTGTCCGCTCCCGCGTCGCCCGCCTTGCTGCTTCTCTGCCGCCAGCTCGCGTCTCCGCGGACCGAGGCTCCGATGGTGTGGGTTTGAGGAGGGGTGGGTGGGAAGGGCAGGGGCGGGGACCAAGGGGCCTGAGGCCCCTGCCCCGGTGTGCAGGGCCACTCCTCTGAGCTGTCTTCTTCTCTGGCCGAGCCCTGCCTGCTCCTGTCCCTCTCTGCTCTCCTGCCGGGGAGCTGCGCATCTGAGCAGAAGGCTGGCTGCTCGCTGCCACCTCGAGGTGCGTGGCTGCAAGGGGCTGCACAGGTGAAGACTGGGCGGCAGGGCAGGATCCTGCCCTCCCCCAAGGGAGAACTGGTTCAGAAACGTTGGGCTTATAAAGGTGGACAGCTCCCCGCTCTCTCCTTATCCCGACCAAGTCTTCCGGAGGTTCCCTAGCCTTTGCGCAGACCCTAGCGCTGGCTGTCTCTCCTCTCTGTCTCTTCCAGGAGTCATCGCTCTACGGCACTGGCCTCCTTCTGGTCTGAGTATTGGGAGTCTGGAGGAGGAGGGCGAGGAAGGGAGGAGGCAGCGGGCGGGGAGTGGAGGGAGAGAAGGTAGAAGGGTATTTACATCTTGCATGAACTTGCGGCAGACTGGACGAATCTCTTTGCCCAAGGTAGCACTGAACATCATGACCTGCTTCTCATGCGGGGTCATGCGAAAAATTTCCTGGACATCCCGACGCATGTCTGCCAGGAAAACAAGAAATTACAAAAGAGAAGAAACACCCGCGATGATAAAGACCAAGGGCCCTTGGTTCAGTCCCACCCACCACCAAAAACAGGCAAAACCCCAAGGGTCTAGGGAGCACGGAGCCCTCAGCCACGGTGACGGTAAGAGTCAGCCTCGCAGGGCAACGCTCGCATCCAACCGGCATCATCTGGCACCAGAGGCAACTACTGGACAGCGGCCGCCCATCCGCCACTCACCGAGTTGTTCAAGCATCTTGTCACACTCATCGAGGATAAAGTGTTTAATGTGTTTGAGGTTGAGGCTCTTATTCCGAGCCAGGGCGAGAATGCGGCCAGGAGTCCCCACCACGATGTGCGGGCAGTTCTTCTTCAGTACCTCCTCGTCCTTCTTGATAGACAGACCACCAAAAAACACTGCGACCTGCAGGCCAGGAGGAGTCTCACAAAGAAGAAATCCAACTCCCAGAGCTCCCATTCTGTCAGGACAATTCTTCCGATCAACTCTTAGCATACTTAAGAATAAAAACTTAAAGAGTCCACCTCACGTAAAATTCTTTTGCACGCCCAAATATTGAGGCAACAACAAAAGTGATTTTCCCAGCCGTATGGCCGTGGAAGCAGGCAAGACCAGCATTCAGAGCCTACGTCCCAATCGAAGTGACGCACGCTCTCAGGCCAGGCTTCAGTTTAAGAATAAGGACAGCAAGAAACCTTCACAAAGCTAATAGACGGTAAGCGTGAGACACTTCTAGCTGAATGGCTGCACCTTAGACCGTATTCTTCAGAGAAATACACCGCACACACGTGTGTAAACGCTGAACTGTCTCTGGTCTGAGAAACAGAAAGTGCAAATAAGGACCAAAATGTCTCACAGATATTGGGAGATGGGAAGAAAATGTTTAAATGAGAAGGAGAACAAGGAGGGGGAACGGGAAGGGGAGGAAGGGACAAGAAAAAGAACACAGAAGGAAAAATGGAAACAAAGCTTTTGTAAATAAGGAGGGGAAGAGGGGCTGAAGGGAGGGGACAGGAATGGGAGAAAAAGAAGTGAGATGTATCATGTGCAGGTATAAATTCCCTATGATGAATGTGATCATTATGTGTATCTAAAATGCACCAACAGAAAAACCTCACACACACACACACACACACACACACACACACACACAGAAAAGCACACAGGCTAGGCACAGTGAAGCATGCGTACAATCCCGGCACTTGGAAGGCCGTGGCAGGAGAATGAACAATTCAAGTGCCATCTGGGCAGCTAGCAAAACTCTGTCTCAAAATACAAAAAAGGCCGAGGATGTAGCACAATTTGAAGGCCCCAGGGTTAATCCCCGTACAAACCCCCTCCAAGAAAGCATGGAATGTCAAGTTGTTCTAAATGAACTGTCATATAAACTCCCAGTTACTGATTCGGGCTACATGTACTTATAACCCATGATGAAACCATTAGGGGAATACTTGATAAAGACCTGAGCCTTAATACCAAACAAGAGAAACTGCTTTCCAGTTCTAAGGGGGAAACACTCAAGGGACCAGACCATCAAGACCCTAATTCTCGGGAAGTCCCCCCTGCCCTGGGGGAAATCTGAAGCCACGAGTGAGTAATGAGGAGGCCGGGTCTGCGGCAAAGTAGGACAGCAAGCATCACCTAGGAGAGATTCTTGCCGGAACTGTTTATCAGTTAAGCTTTCCAACGTAAATTTCAGCTGCTAAGAAACACTAGGAGAAGAGCGAGCTGAACACCGAGGGAGTAACCACAGGAACCAGAATGGGGCGTTCCGTACGGCTGGCCCAGTCCCCGACCAGGCAGCAGGAATATGTGAAGTACGGGTTAAGTAAACACAATTTCTATCTGCCTTTGTGTTTTTTCAACAGAATCTGTGTTTCTCAAGGTGACTTTGAACTCCTAGGTGCAAGTGATCCTCCTGCCTCAGCCTCCCAGGGAGAAGGCACTACAGCTACGTGCACGACTGCACCCAGTCTCACTGGATCACAACATCCATAGTCTCTTGAGAGGGACTGAGCTGGGCCTACAGAGGGGGATGAAGCCTCACTCACTGCCCAACTCAAGAAAGAATATAAACAATTTCCTGGTTTTCACCACTTCAAATCAACCCACGTACTCAGACTGCTTGGTGTAGGGACAGAAAGTACCTCCATCGATGCTGGCCATTTGAGCAGAGGTGAACACTCGGCCTTCGGGTCACATTTCAAGAATTAACACAGTTTTCAAAATATTAGAAGCGTAAACAAACTAGTGTTTCATAAAAAGAAGTCAGAAAGTATATCAGCCAACAAGTTAAGAAAACGCTGCCTAGGATGGGGAGCAGGGCTCAGAGGTGGAGCACTTGTCTTGCATGTACAAAGCCCGGTTTCAAAAACCCTCAGCACCATTACAATGGGGGAGGGGGGGAATGTCTTCTGTGAAACAGGATTGCATGTGGGAGAGCACACACCATTTCATTAAGGTGTTGTGAATTACTTAAAAACAAGTACAGCTACTGTTTTAATTTTTAAGAAATTTTCAGTTTAAGGCTATGCCTCCCTCGAACACTCCTAGCTCCTCTCAACTATAAAGTAGGTCAGGCGTGGTGCTGTATGCCTGTAATGCCAGCACTTGGGAGGCTGAGGCAGGAGGATCGTTGTGAGTTTGACACCAGCCTGGGCTACAAAGTGAGCTCAAGGCCAGCCTGAGCTGCATATCAAGACCCTGTCTCAAAAAGAGAAAGAAAAGAGAAAGAAAAGACAAGAAAAGAATGAAGTAATAATAGAAAATTGTAACAATTTGAACAAGAAGTGTGTTCTGCACTACAGCCAGGATGACAGGAAATCATCAATCGGTGCCTATCACTGCCAGCTGCATAGGAATTGCAGTGTGTTGTCGTGTATTTTTACACTCAGCAAGTCTGGACAGGACCATGTAACCTGTATTACCATGAAGAATGATGCTGAACCTACTGGTGTGGTTCCTACCAGTGTGGCACAGATCACCAGGGCCCAATCACAAACTCTCATGAAACACAGGTGTATTTGCACCGTTAAAAGCCAAGGCGAACTAAAGCGTCTCCAAAATTAAACTATAGCTAGCATCTCTGAGATTGTAACAGAAACCAAAGAGCCGCACGTGCTGGTAAAACCCTTTGCACACCCTGGTCTGCAGGAGCTTCCTGCCAGTTCCAGCATGCTACGGCTCTTGCACAGGTGTTTAGCACAGTTTCCAGGGCTTGGGACTCCCCACACCCCCGCTCCCCCAGGGTCCTCCCAGCCAGCTCACCTTGACGTTGGGCATGTATTTAGAGAAGCGCTCATACTCCTTGCTGATCTGAAAAGCCAGCTCCCTAGTGTGACACATCACCAGCACGGACACCTTGGAAGGAAAGCAGGTGGAGATAATCACAGTAAGCACACACCCTTCATTATTCCCTCGAGGGAAGTGACTGCCACAAAAGCCTACCTACAGATCATCAATGTCAACCCTCAGATTTGAATAATTAAGCCCATGCTTAATAGAGAATATTCCTCCTGGCTGTCAGGTGACCCTGACCACCTGAGCCGTAAGCACTCGTAGCTCCGTAGACAGGCCAGGATCCCGTCCCACCTGGTCCTAACCAGAGCCCTCCCTGACCCTCCCCAAGCACACCTGCCCGGTCACTGGCTCCAGCTGCTGCAGTGTGGCCAAGACAAACACCGCTGTCTTTCCCATGCCTGACTTGGCCTGACACAGGACATCCATTCCTAGAATGGCCTGAGGGATGCACTCATGCTGGACTATAAGAAAAAAAAAAAAAAGAAAGAAAGAAAAAATTAAGACTTGTCTCCAGACAACTTCACAACCTTCCTCACCACACCAAACCCATTTCTTCCCACTCAGTTCTCCAAGTATTTTCCTGGTTCTTGCCAACTTCCAGGCCCTCTGCACCTCTCTGTGCCCTGGCCACATTAATCCCAAATCAAACCCTCCTCGCTCCTTCCAGCTCTCTTCCTCCAGGTCCAGACCTCCCCGGCGGTGCTAACGACCCTCCTGCGCCTCCCACAGCTCACCTTCAGCGCTCCTGGCTCTGTCCTTATTTTTCTTAAACTGTAACAATCCATGACATTTCAATGCCTGCCACAGGCCATCTCGCCTACTTAGGTTGCCATGCTTTGGGTCACGTAACCCTGCAACCTTGAACAAAATGAAGCACTTGGTACCTGACCCAAAAAGCCAGCTGTTTTCAGACCAGTCAAAAAGGTTCCAGAGACCAGAGCCGGCCTGGCCCAGAAGAGGGAAGCTAAAGGCTTGACCAGCCCTTTCTGGAAATTTAACAGCCAAAATGACAAAGTTAAAAACAAGCAAACAAGAAGAAAAGCCAGGCACATCGGCAGTCCTCTGTCTAAGCTGGTTCTGGATTACGACAAGGCTAGAGAAGCCTCTTCACTGTTAAAAGACAGTTTTTGGTCCTTATGTCCTGTACTATCCTAAATACAAATCATGACCATCTGAAGAACCACCTTTTGTGTCCAGCCCCTGAAGGGCCTAGGGCCCTCTTAGGGGAACAGAAAATGTACCTTCGGAGGGATGCTCAAAGCCACAGTCAACAATGGCCCGGAGCAACTCTGGCTTGAGCAGAAAGTCACGAAAGCCAGAGCTATGGATGGAGACATAGGAGCCCTTGACATCCTTCTTGGCAGGGGCCTCGGCCCCATCTCCCCCAGCTGCTGTCTCCACCTCATCGTCTTCATAGTCCAAGAGCTCGTTGTCCACATCATTCTCTGCCATGACTGGCCGGCAGAGGGAGGGGGCGGGGCTGCGGATGAGTTCTCCCAGAGCCGGCAAAAACAAAGGGGAGCGGGAGGGGATGAGGAAAGCAAAGGGAAAGGAAAATACTTCTGACAGAAGAGCTAGGAAAACAGAACAAAACAGAGCACACGTATCAGTCAGGAGCACACTTTCACCACTTCTCCATTCCCACACTCTTCCTACTGTCCCTAAACTACAATACCTGGGAAGAAAAGTTACAAAGAGACACAACACCTACAAATAAAAAGCAAGTGTAATAGAAAAACGTAAAAACTGGCTTCAGAGGACATGGTTCCCAGCAAGATTGTGGCTCACAGTAGCAGAAACCAGTTAGTTTGAAGCCAATTTAGAAATATGGTATTGAGCCCAGTGTGGTGGCGCACACCTGTAATCCCAGCACTCGGGATGCTGAGGCAGGAGGATCGCCCTGAGTTCAAGGCCAGCCTGGGCTACATACTGAGTTCAAAGCTAGCCTGAACTACGTAGGGACACCCTGCCTCAAAAAATAAAATTTAAAAAAAAAAAAAAAAACTTTATTTGTACATAGCAAGAATGAAAAAAGAGCACCAGGAAAAAGTGAAAAATATCAATGACTTAGGAGAGGTGAAGATGGAAATGACAAGTCCTCTAACACCCTAAGGGAAGACCCTGCGCTTTCCCTATCATTTACCTCAGCCCTGATCCCTCACACGGCAGCCATCAGTCAAGGGTGATAGATGAAGGTCAGCACTGCGCAGAGCGCTCACTTCTCAAAATGAAACATCATGTGGCTGCCATTCGCCTCCCCCGCCCCCCCGCAGCTCTCCACCTCCCACTCCTCAGGATCCCCCTCCATCGCTTAAGAAATCCTGCATAGCAGGGCGTGGTGGCGCACCCCTGTAGTCCCAGCGCTCGGGAGGCTGAGGCAGGACGATCGTTCAGAGTTCGAGGCCAGCCTGGGCCGCAAAGTGAGCTCAAGGCCGGCCTGAACTGCATACTGAGACCCCGTCTCAAAAAAAAAAAGAAAAAAAGAAAAAGAAAAGAAAAGAAAGAAAAAGAAATCCGATGTAGGGAGAAAGAAATCAATAGTAGGGAGCAGGGGTCAGAGAAACGGCTCAGTGGCAAAACAAGAAACAAAGGGGGCCTGAGGCTGTGGCTCAGTGGAGCGCTCGCCTCGCAGGCCACAGGGCCTCGGCTCAGCCCCCAGCGCTGCAGACACCAGTAACAAAGTGTAACATAAAAACTAGGTCACTGCAGAGACAAAGCTTGATAAAAAGATACAGGATCTCCGTTCCAGCTTTTAACAAAATGGTTACCAATGGTCTCACATTACGCTTGGGCGCCTAACGTGCTAAAAATATCTTCTAGAGACACAATGACACCCTGGTAAACATTTGGAAACAGTTTCAGCGAAGACCCGGGAAGCCCAGGGGGAGAGGTCCAGCGGCCCCGCGGGCGGGCTCCTCCTCCTCCTCGTCCACTCCGGGAGCAGCAGGCCCGGGGGAGGGCGCGGAGAGCCCCGCCCCCACAAGTACCCGGCCCCGAGGGACACCTGGCGCCGCCTCTCGTCGTCGCGGGGGCCTCGGGCAAGCGACTGACCCGCTCAAAGAGCCGGGAGCAAAGAGCGGGAACACAATGGCGCTGGCGCCACCATCTTGGATTGGGCCCTTCTTTCTTCCCTGCCTCCCTCCAAGAGCGCTTTGCTCTAGAAAAGGATGAAAACAATGAAAATAATATCCTACTAAGCCCCAGCGACCAGATCATCGCCTGAGCGAGGTATATCAGGAACCCGTGTGGCAGGATGAACGGGATGGACCACAGATGGAGGCGGATGGTGGTGAGGCCAAAGCTTACCTGAGCAGGGCAAGCGCGTATGGCGGCAGCGACAGCGACGAAGGAGGGAAGCAACCTTCACTTCCGGTTCCAGGCTTTCCTCCACCCCGGCCTCCCGCCTTCTCGCCCGCCAGGGCGCAGGCGCAGGGTGCCGGAAGAGGACCTTCTGCGATTCTGTAGTTCCGCGCGCTCCGGGGTTTCCTTTGGAAAATGCCTGTCAGAAAAAAAAAAATGGTAAAGCCCCTTCTAAGTCCTCCGCTACTTCCACTAACAGAAGACGTAAAGGTGACAAACGTGTTCCCTTGTCCCACTCTGTCCCACGCCCTTCGCTTCTTCGTTTAGGCTTCTGCCACCCAGGTGTTGTGTCTGGGCACCCCTCTGGGGGGCGCGCCAAAAACGGGTTGGTGGGGGAACCTGCGAGTTCCCACGGGGTCCTTGTCGCGCTGTCAAGGTGACCCGAGGGCCGCTGGGCATGCGCAGAGAGAACAGTCTGGCCCCTTTTGAGAAGACGGAATAAGCAGCTGTCGGGAAACGAGTGAGGCGCGCTTGGGAGTCCAGCGGCACTGGCTCAGAATTAAGTTGGCTGATGTAGCTAAAGCCCTTACCTTGACGACCAAGGGCTGTGAGTCAGGAATGAGAATCTAACTCCTCAAGTGTTAAAACTAAACGATAAGCCAGGCGTGCTGGTGCACACCTGTGATTCAAGCACAGGGAAGGCTGGGGCAGGAGGATCGCCGGAAGTTCAAGGCCAGCCTGAACTACATAGCGACATGCAGTCTCAAAACAACAAGCAAACAAAAAACTAAATGATAAGGCTTGAGGACTGCACAGCTTTCCATAAAATTGTTAATTAGAGCCGTATGTTCTTTAGCTCCGCCCGAACAGTCCTGGATTTTTATTTTTTCATAAACGAAACATTTGACATCCCTCTATTTTGAGATGCTGACGGCTGTGCTGCATAAAACTGACAGGTATTTGTCCCTTTCTCCACTTAATTATTTAATCAGTTTCAGTATTTTTAGACAAGCAAATAGATTTGGAGAAGTAAAGCAATATATCCAAAACAATACAACTGGTAATGTGACAGCCAGGGTGTAAACACCTTTAATTCTGTATTGCCTCCCTGCTTACAGAATCTGGTTAACAGATGCACGATGGATTACCTCCTTGGTTCAAGTTCTTGGGGAAGCAAAGAGAAATAACTTATCCAAAGATGGAGTCAGAAAAGAACAGTTTTCCCAGCCCTACACATAACTTAAGTTATTCTACAGTACTAATCAGCTGCCCACCTGTGCTAAGCGCTATCCTAGGATCTGGGGACAAGCAGTGACCAGCTCTGTCCTCACAGAGCTGACATAACAGGGGAGATGACACATAATGTCAAGTATTATAAAGCAAAACAGTTGAGTGCTTGTTCCAGCATTTGTTTAATTTGCCACTTGTAGTTGTATCAAGATGCCCCCCACACCCCCCAAAGCCTCATGGAGTCACAGGGGAAGTTTTTCAAAGGGGCTGGATCTAAGGTGTGTGGTGCTGGGATTGGTGCCCCACCCTGGGTGTGAGTGTTACCGCCCTAAGGGCAGGTAGCCTGGATGGAATATATGGGACAGAAAGAGGACTGCTGCTCTTGCTTGCTGCTTGCTGCCTTCTGCCTGCCCTGCTTTGCCATGGACTGTGTCTCCTCTGCCATGCCCCCCTGCCTTGGAGCCCACTGACTATAGATGGAAACCTCTACAAAGGGAGCTACAATAAACCTTTCCTCCTGTAACTTTGGGTGTCCGGTATTTTGTCTCAGCAACGAGAAAAGTAACTAAGACACTAGTCCTCAGGTTCCCAAACAAGCAACCACAGGTTGCTTAACTTGAGAAAAATGATAAAGTATTATTTGCTTTTGTTTCTCCCAATGAATTTCAAGGACAGTCATTTGTGGTGCTTAGAAAATATATAAACAGAGCATGAGCCGGGCATTGTGGCGCACGCCTGTAATCCCAGCACTCGGGAGGCTGAGGCAGGAGCATCGTTGCAAGTTCGAGGCCGGCCTGAACTTCATATCGAGACCCTGTCTCAAAATGACAAAAATAAAAAATAAAAACAGCACGAGAGTGAGTGAAGGTGAGAAATGATGAGGCAATGAGAGGCTGCTTGGTCTCACCGACTGATTTGCCCAATTATTTTATTGACCACTTTTTATTGTTACAAAGGGAAAGCAGCGTGTTGACTATGGAAAGGAAGGCCATGCGGATGGGAGCACAACATCACTTCAGACCTCAGGGATCCGTGAGCATCTGGTGGTTTTGGGGGGAAATAGAAAAAGGACGAAACCCAATAAAGACCAGCTTATGAGAGACAAAAAGAGAAGCTAAGAAATGCAATACCTGCCTGGAACCGTAATAGAGGGACTAAGAGAGGTCAGCATTTCATCTTTCCAGGGATCATCAGATCTGGAGCGGCGGGGGTTGGGGGGGTGGGAGGAGGTGGGAAGAACAAATTCTTCTGGGGATTACTAGGGTCACAGAGTGGACAAAATTGTAGCGCCTGTGGGAAAAGTCAGGAAACCGCAGTCCTTAGGCTTTGGCAGGTATGCAGAGGGTGGCAATGATATCTGAGTTTCCTATTTATTGAATCCCAGCTGCTCCCAGGAACCATGATAGGCTCTTTACAGAATAATTCCTAACCACTGTACCAGCCTCAGAAGGCAGAATTATTCCAGTTTCACAAAGGAGAACACTGCGGCTCCCAGGTTAGGCAGCTTGTCCTAGCTGCTCAAACGGCGTGCGGCAGGGCTGGGGGAGAACCCCAAATCTTCCAAACTCAAGTCGGGAGCTTTCCACACCCCTACTTCTCCACGCTACAAGTTTACACACGTGTTAGGTGAGGAAGACGTGGCTCACTTTGGAAGGTCCCAGAGGGTGACAGAAGGAGATGCAAGTTTGCCCGGGATATCCCTAAACTTCACAGTTCAAAATTGAATGTTGCTTCCTAGCAGTTCCACAGAGTGGAAAAGGAGAGAAAGATTACGGTAGGAAAGGAATTTGTCAGTACTGAGCGCTGAACCCAGGGCCTAGTGCATGCCAGGCAAGGGAAGTCACCTGGGCTTGGGAGACTCCTTTGTGGGCGCAAACTTGTGTGAGGAGCGGGCCCCCTGGGGGACCCTAGGCAGTGATCCGGTAGTTGGGGTGAAGCTGGGGCCTCACATCGCAGACCATGCCGAGGAGCTGGGCCAGGACGCGCTCCCGGTTCCGCTGCTGGGAGCTCTGCATGCCCTGTACCTGGCGCCTCGTAGCCTGCTCCACTTCAGCCGACAGGTTCCCCTGGGAGCCCATGGCCTGGAGGGCGGGGAAACACATGAAGGAGAAAAGGGAAAAGCAGGAACAGGGAAAGAAATGTCCTGGCTTGGGGTGGGAAAGGTCTTGAGCAAGAGAAAAAGCCTTTTTAGAAACTACCCCCTCCCCATCCCACAGCAATACCCAGGTACCATCATTGAAGAGGTCCATAATGTCCTTTTCTCTAAGACCTGACATGCCATCTCCTATCTAAAACAGACTGTAAAATCCCCACTCTCTCACTGCCCTGACCATGAAATCCTGCCCTCCCCCTACAAGCTGTACGTCAGACTTGCCAAACACGGGCCTGCAATACCAGCACTGGAGAGGCCGAGACAGGAGGATTGCCAGTTTGTGCCCCCCATCCCCCGCACTACAAAAGCAAGTTCAAGGTCAGCCCGGACTACAGCGTGAGACCCTGTCTCAAAAACAAAACCCTCTCGGGCTCTCTTACGTACTGTCACACAGGTTCCCGATGTCGTGGTCCCTGCAGGTCCCCTGGGCGCTCTACCACCTTACTTTCTGGTGGAGTCGCTTGTATATGCCTCGCTAGGTAGGGCACCCACCAGCCCGCGCCCGGGGGGGCCGCCCAGCTCCCCACAGCTCACCGCCTGCTGCTTGCTCTGGAATTCCTGCTCCCGCTCGCGGCGGTACTGCTCCACCTCCATCTGCGCCTCCTCCTTTGCCTGCTTCAGCCTCCGGGCCTTCCCTGGAGGCAGAAGACGGGTGGGGGAGTCAGTCCCCAGTTACTCGGCCTTCTCCCGGCCAAGCAGGCGCTGGGTTCTAACCCCGCTGTTCCTCTCCTCCTCAGCGGCCTCCAGCCTCCCGCGCTCTCCCCGCTTGGGTTTTACTAAGGACTCCCACGTCTGCTAACCTGGACCCCAGTTCTCTTTCCAGGCTCCTGCAGGAGAAGAGAGGAGACTTACTCTTCCTGGCATCTGCCACCTTCTCAGCTGCCCGCTTCTCCGCCTGCAAGAGCTGCTGGATGCCCTGGGACTGACTGGCCATTTTCCGCCGTTCGGGCTGGTGATGCTGTGAAGCTGACCAAGGTACCAGAGGCTCCCACTCCCAGCTGCTACTTCTCCTCCTTCTGCTCCTCCTCCTCCTTCTCCTCCTCCAGCTCGGTGCTGCGCTCCTTCACTACTCCTGGGTCTTAGTGCTCCCCTTTTCACTCAGCCTCCTGCACCGGGTGTCTCCCCCAATCTGATCCTACCACTGATTCTGGTCCTCCCGACTCACCTCTCATCCAGACGGTACCCAGAAGGGCCGCCTGGGGGCAGCAGAGACCAGCTCTAAGCGGCCAGCTAGGGCCGCAGGTGCAGAGCCCCTCCAGGGCTGAGCTCCAGGGATGGAGACAGAGGCAACGAGACAAGCGTTTGGGTGGAAGCATGACACCTGGTTGGTGGTCGCAAACGAGGCATAGAGGGGATGAGAATGGGGTGAAAGGGTAAGAATGTCATCATGCAATGGATGTTGGGAAAAGAGGATGGTGGACTGGCTCACTCTCTCTCCAGGGTCTCACTATGTAGCCCAGGCTGGCCCCAAACTCAGGACCTTCCTGCCTCAGCCTCCCCATGCTGAAATTACAGAAGTGTTTCAGTACCTACCACTCTCCCCGTGCCTCTCCTTGCTTAATGAGTAAGTTTATTGGTGTTTACCTGGAAAATCTTCATAGAAAACTGTTGTTTAGTTTGACTCTCAGCAGAGCTCTGAGAAAGATCGCCTTCTTTTGAGCTACCTAATCTTTCTTCTGAGCAAGGGATATTTTTGGACAGTTCCACTTCATCTTTTTAACTTCTTCTTCCAGCTTCTCTTCATAGACTGGATTCCGTCACATAGCAGCATGAGCTTTCTTATATACCTCCCCTATGTCTGCAGTCACATAGTTCGTTCTGTCCCGAGAGAACTGTTCTTTAAGCATCATCAGGTAACGCATATAACCTGCAACATTCTGACCCATGATGAGCTTCTGATGTACTTCTGCACTGAACCTCTTGCTTTCAGAGTCATAATCAGAGAACCATTTGGTACTGTGACGGACGGACGAGCCTACACCCATAGCACCCTTCAGGGCTCCAAAACCTTCACTGCCAGCTGAAGTCCTGGCAAGGCGACATCCAGTCTCCTCCACTTGGCCTTCATAGCTCTTGCCATCCCACGCCTTTGAGAAGCCTGCGAGCCCGCAGCAGGCCAGTACAGTATGTTGCAGCGTAATTTGTAAAGCCAACTTTCACACCGTATCTTAGTACTGCATGTGCACATGCCGCGCATATTCCTTTCTATACAAGAATAAAAAATCTGAAAAATAACACCTCTGTTAGTTACATGAACTACCAGAGTGTTTGGGTATGTTGTACTGTTTTGTCCTGGATCACCAAGTGTTTCCAAGCACAGTAATCAGTCTGCCCTCTCCTCTTCTTGTAAACCTCACTTGGTATCTCTTTTTTTTTTTTTTTCTGGTACCGGGAATCGAACTCAGGACCTCGCGCTTGCCAGGCAGGTGCTGTGCCGCTGAGCTAAATCGCCAGCCCCCACTCACTTGGTATCTCTCAAAGTGGTCTTTATTCTTGACAACTTTAACAAACCCAGACCGGGCATGGTGGTGCACGCCTGTAATCCCAGCACTCGGGAGGCTGAGGCAGGAGGATCGTTGTGAGTTTGAGACCAGCCTGGGCTACAAAGTGAGCTCAAGGCCAGCCTGAACTGCATAGCGAGACCCTGTCTCAAAAAGACAACAACAACAACTACAACAAAACGCTCCTCAGCCCACAGCAGCCTTTCGGAGGGTCGGCCAGGAGCACCTTTGAACTTCCCGCGCTGGGCACGGAGCAGGCATTTATTCTATGGTTGTCTTAGTTCTCCCGTCTCTCTTATCTCTCCTCCATCTGCCTCTCAGTCTATGTGTTTCCCAAGTTCAAAGTTCTGCATACATCTCACTGTCTTGTGCTACGGTCCTCTTAATATATTTTTATCTCTGTGCTTTTCTCGTTTGTGATCTCTCCTTATTCTGACCTCACTGTAGTTTTGGTTTTCCATTTTCATTGTGATTTTTATCCTATCTTTAAACCTCCCTGATATCTTTCTCTTTTCATCTTTCCATACGTCGCTGAACCATTCCCTCTCTCTCCTTGTAGTTGGTTAGGACCTGGAAAAACCTCAAAAACAAAGAAAACACCCTCCCTTCTCCCTTGCCTCCCCCGTCCCCCGCCTCGCCTCGCCTCGCCTCGCCTCGATTCTCATCGTGCCTTCCCACCTTAGGCGGACCCTGTGTTTCAAATTCCTTGGTTTCCTCCCGGAGGCCTGATCAAGAGACCAACTGGTCCGGGCGGAACAACATCCGGTCATGCGCCTCACAGTTTATTTCCGCCCAAAATTGCGTCTCGCTTTGCGTATTTCCGCCAGTCTGGAGTGTTTCCGCCCTTTCCGCCTCCCTCCTCCGAGCGCCTTAAACTCCGGGCGTACAGCTTCGCGGGTACTTGGGGGGCGGGGGACAGGTCTGATGAGTAACCCCTCCCCCCAGGTCCCAGAGGGAGAAGCCTCTACATCAGTCTCCCGGGTACATTATATTCAATTTCTAGATCGTTATTTGAAATTGTGACTTTGTGAACTTCAAATTTCTGCGGATAAAAATTTTCCCCATGAGGCTCTATTGCTTCTTCTTTTTTTTTTTTTCAAAGTCCATTATTAAACATTTACCTGGGCTCTCCAGCCCTAAAGCAATTTTGTAGGCTTTTCTCAAAATTTACACTAACAAATCTGTGACCCCAGCGCCATTCAAAAAAAAAAAAAAAAAACAACTAACAAATCTGAGACCCCACCGCCACGCGGTGAACGACGAGGGTTAGGACGGCCTCGTCCTTTGCTGCTGATGTGAGAATGACGGTGGAGGAGGCCGCTGTGCGGGAGAGGAGGGGAGGGCTGAGCCAGGGGCAGGGGCCAGCCCAGCCCAGCGTCCTGACTGCTGTCTCTCTTCCTTCCTCCTTAGCCCAAGACTTCCATGGCCTCGGCTTCCCGCCGCCAACGCCGCGAGCGTCGCTTCCGCCGCTACTTGTCTGCCGGCCGCCTGGCCCGGGCCCAGGCCCTCCTGCAGCGACACCCTGGCCTCGATGTGGACGCTGGGCAGCCCCCACCCCTGCACCGCGCCTGCGCCCGCCACGACGCCCCTGCCTTGTGCCTGCTGCTGCGCCTCGGGGCTGACCCTGCCCACCAGGACCGGCACGGGGACACGGCGCTGCACGCCGCTGCGCGCCAGGGCCCGGAGGGTGAGTGCCAGCGGGGAGCAAGGCCCCGGGCAGCCGGCCGGTTAGATCTGAAATGAGAGTTGTGGAGAACTAGGCCAGTGGTGTGGTCAGGGGGACCTTGGCATGTGCCTATCGTTTGTGCCTTGGATACACGAGAAACTTCCCACGTGTTAGGTGTCAAATGTGCCGAGTTCAGGGTCCCACGAGAAGGACTGGTGTCATAAGCCAAAGGAAGGAATTAGGAGAGTTTTACTGGAAATAGGCGGAGAAGAATAGATCCTGGACTTCCAGTGGGGGGTCCCAAAGGGGACGACGAAGGAGGCCCTTTAGCTGGGTAATTTATCTAGAAAGTCACAATGTGGGTACAGCGTGGGTCAAACTGCCATCAACGTATCGGAGCACAAGTATAACTGCTGAGCTGATGCTGATCCAGTGGGGACACGAGTCACAGTGCAAGGACCGGCGTCACACGGATGTTCTGCTCACCCATCTGGGTGTCTGATGCCTGTCTGGATTTCCTGAACCAGGTGGTGCTAATTACAGGCTACCCTCAAGCTGCTGCTCACCCCTTAGAGAGCCATGCGGGCCTGGCTGTTGAGTCTTTACCTTGAGGCCTGGCCGTCCTCAGATGCGCCTCCAGCCACAGTTCCCATGTCTTTATTTTTGTGCTGACTTCCTGGAGAGCCCAGACCCTCTCTGGCTGTCTCTTAGTTTCTGACTTAGCTGCCTACAGCTGCTTGCCCGGGCCCTGACCATGCATGCAAGCAGGGAGCAAGGTCATGAGCTTGGCATTACTGAGGTGCCTTTGTCTGAACAGCCCAACTTTCCCAAAACAGCAACTAGTCTTTAAATTTTATCTCTGTCTACACAAGTAGCTACTTTGCTTCTTGATTTATTGTTTGCCTGTAGCACAACACATATCATAGAAGGTGAACTCTGCAATTGGACTGCCTGGGTTCAAATCCCAGCTCCACACTTCTTTTTTTTTTTGAGAGAGGGTCTCACTATGCAGTTTAGGCTGGCCTTGAACTCATTACCTAGCCCAGGATGACCTCGAACTCATAACAGTTAAGCCTCCTGCCTCAGCCTCCCAGGTGCTAGAATTACAGGTATGCTCCACCACACCTGGCCCCCAGTGCCACACTTAATAGCTGTGTATTAAGTTGTTGAACTTTCCTGAGGCTTAATTTGCCCGTGTGTAAGACTAAAATAACAACAACACTTGCTGTGTGCCAGGCACTTTTCACTGAGTAACTCACCCGATCCTCCCACAAACCCTGTGAGGTGAGTCACGGACATTATCCCCGTCCTACTGATGCGCTGGGCACAACGAAGTCAAGCCATTTGCTGAAGTTACACAGGTGTGTACGGGTAGCACAGGCATTGTATCCAGGCAGCCCAGCTAGCTAGTCTGTGCTCTCACTGCAGATTGTAACTTTGTCATCTATGTCAAACGTTACAGAATTACACGTGGCCAAAGTACCCCGCCCTGAGGAGTGTTCTGAGATCTCCTGACACGGTACATGACTGGACGCTTGACCACAGCGAGCACCCAGCAGGCGCTGTCAGTTGCCATTCCTGTCCTTATCAGCAGGTCCGCGCTCCCATGCAGAATTCGGAAACTTAAAACCACTCTGGGAATCAGTTTTCATCAATCTGCCACCAAAGCGCATTTGGTGACAAAACCCTAACCTGAACTAAAGCGAGGCTCTCTAGGATGTGTTTTTATCTTACTGAGCCAATATTCAGACATTTCACACCAGAAACATTTATGAGTTTGCTTACTGGGGCTGCCCAGGCCCTCTTGGGGGCCTCATCTTTAGAGTAGGTACTTTTAGATCAACTCAACCAAACCTCAGAAACATCCGAATTCTGAAAGAGCTTCGTCCTTGAGGGACACAGACATGGAGCCTGTTGATAATGTGTGGAAGCAGCTCTGGAGAGGTGCAGGCCCTCCCGTCAGTCCTGAATGTGAAAGCCCTTTCCTGCGTAGAGATCTCACAGAGTGAGAACGTGAGAACAACCTCGAGGTTTCGAGGAGCAGCACTAACTCAGTCTGATCCGCTCCTTACCCCGCTGCAAGTGTAAGCAGGAGCCCCTCCTCCCCAAACCCTCCAGGAAGGTCAGAAGTCTTCTTTTTGTAATTCTGTCGGCATGTGTGAGAGGAGCTGGTGCACCTGGATATTTTTTTTTAACTTACAAGCAAAGAGGAAGTTTACCGAGTGCAGGTATCTAACTGGCCGGCTGCTGTAAGCTAGGACAAAGCAGAGCACCCCAAGAAAGACAGCGCCCCGCAGGTTCAGGAACTTGTCCAACTCACAACAGAGAGGTCATTGTCCCCGAGGGGTCCTTCCCTGGGGCCCCTTCCCTCCCAGGCGCACTGTCCTCTCAGGCCTTCTTTCCGTCCCCGGCCGGGCCTGCCACCAGGGGGCCTCCTAACTCCTGGGTCAAGAAGCCTCCTTGGCTGCCGGTGGCTTTGCGCACCTCAGTGAAATGAAAATACCTCCCTTGACTTAAGTGACCCAGAATCTTTGCCAGCAGATTCTCCCCACGTTGAGTCTGAAGGATGCGCCAGTCACACTGGGGGCTGGGCTGGGTTTTCACACCCAGTAAGACTCCAGTGAGTGTGCCCACCTTTTGGACTTTCGGTGACTCCCTTTTGGAAGCCCTCACCTCCTGGTGAGTGTTCTTAGCTGTCAGAGACCGCTGGATAAACGCACCGTGGCCAGACAGTAACCGTTGCCTCCACAGACCAAGAGCTGGCACTGAGAAATGAGGTCATTTTTTCACACTCTTGGTAAAAAAGAGTAAAACCCAAAGCAAGCCTGTTCTCTTCTGTTCTTTTCTTCTGACGTAACCTAAACTGCTCTTCTGTTCCATGCCCACAGTACCAGGCACTTCACACCCACTACCCACTGAACATGCCCGGTACAGGCAGGCAGCGGCCCTGTTCCTCACACTGGCAGTGCATCCGGCTGGGCTCCCCTGCCTTTCCAGCCCTGGGTCCGGCCGCACACGAACTGTGACCGAAGTTCCCCAGCGCTGTCTTCGATGACCCAAGCACATCATCTGCAGACCAGCTCCTTTTATCTGATTTTCCTTTTTTTTGAGACAGGGTCTCGCTATGCGGTTCAGGCTAGCCATGACCTCACTTTGTAGCCCAGGCTGGCCTCGAACTTGCAACGATCCTCCTGCCCCAGCCTTTGCTTAGCGTCAGAGTCCCTTCCCACTCAGCACAAACCCTACCTCATCTCTCTTTTTTTTTGTTTGTTTGTTTTTTTTTGTTTTTTTTGGACTGGGCCTCACTCTGTAGTCCAGGCTGGCCTTGAACTCACAGTGATCCTCAGTGATCCTCCTGCCTCAGCCTCCTGAGTGCTGGGATTACAGGCACCACCTTGCCCGGCACCAGCACTGACTTCTTTTTTTTTTTTTTGGTCTTTCTGAAACGGTCTCACCATGCAGTTCAGGCTAGCCTTGAGCTCACTTTGTAGCCTGGCTGGTCTCGAACTCACAGCAATCCTCCTGCATCAGCCTCCTAATTACTGGGATTACAGGCGTGTGTGCTACCACGCCTGGCTGACATTTTTTAAAAGTGTGTTTGGGGTTGAGGCTGTAGCTCAGTGAGTGGTGGACCGCTAGCCTAGCACGCATGGGATGTAGATTCAATCCTCAGCACTACAAAAACAGTCAGAGGGGTGGAATTCCTTTTTACCCATTACTGTGTTTGGCCCTTTCAAGTGGAATTCATGTCTTATGCATTAGGGGAAGGCAGTACTCCCGTCACTGAGACAAAGTAAACTTGGGTTCCTCCCACAAAATTTTTTCATTTTTATTTTTCCCAGTATGAATTATAATGTAGTAATTAACAAACATTGGGAAAAGTTGATCTTTACTGCCAAATTAATAATCCCGGTAACATTTCAAATACTAGTGAGGGATGAAATATTTAATCAATGGCGTGGGAACATTTGGCTCAGATAGAGAAGAAAAGAGTGCTACCTCACACCCGACTCAGATTAACTTCCAAAGCCGGTGCGGTGGAAGTTAATGCCCGGACTCCCAGCCACTCGGGAGGCTGGGGCAGGAAGACTGAAAGTTTGAGCCCAGTTTGGGCAATTTAATAAGACCCTGTCACAGAATAAAAAATACAGAGGACAGGCTGGAGCTCACTGCATAAGCCCTGGGTTCAGTCCCTGTACAGACAGAGAGAGAAGGAGAAAGAGACTTGTTTTTAGCACTAGGGATGGAAGCCAAGGCCTCTGCACTGAGCAACATCTCAATCCTCTTTTTTTTTTTAATTTTTTTTTTTTACTTTGAGGCAGGATCTCTCTCAGTCTCTCAATTTCTCAGACTGGGTTCAGACTTCTGATCCTCCAGCCTCAGCCTCTCAAAGTGTAGGGATTAGAGACGCATGTACTACCATGCCTGGTTTGATTGGGTTTTTTTTTGGTGGGGGGGTTGTTTGGTTGGTTGGTTGGTTGGGTTTTGTTTTTTGGTTGGTTTTTTTTTTTTTTTGGTGTATATTCCTTGACTCAAAAATTCCACCTCTGAAAATCTACTCTGCACAAATACCGTAACAAGTCTACAAAGATACATGTATGAAACCGAAGGCTTCTGGAAACAAAATTTGTCAGTGAGGAGTAGGGGGAGTTGTTTGTTTTGTGCAGACAGTGGAACACTACACAGTCATCCTGAAGAATGAAGTAGGCTGTGTATTCTCATGGAAAAATATAAATGAGATGGTAAATGTGAAAAGCCAGTTGCCAGACAGTACGTGCGGTAGCAGTATGAACATGGGTCCGAGTGAATTTGCCTCATGTGCGCATTTATGTACACCTTTTTTGTTTTTTTGGTCTTTTTGAGACAGGGTTTTGCTATGCAGTTTAGGCTGTCCTTGAACTCACGTTTGCAGCCCAGGCTGGCCTCGAACTTGCAGTGATCCTCCTGCCTTAGCCTCCCGAGTGCTGGGATTCAGGCATGTGCTACCACTCCAGGTTCCTTTATGTATACCAAACGTGACTGGAATGGGCCATAGCAAACTGTTAATACTTAGTAATTGTTCTTTCCTTAAAAAGGAAAGAAAATTTCAACTTAGTTATGTCACTGTCACGTTAAAATATCATCAACTAAATAAAACTGAAATGAAAAAGCCACCTCTAATGCAATACCTAAAAACTAGAATTTTTCCAGTCTTTTTAAAAAAAAAAAACACCAGATTTGGTCTTTTTTTTTTTGAGACAGGGTCTCACTGGCCTTGAGCTCACTTTGTAGCCCAGACTGGTCACGAACTTGGAACTATCCTCCTGCCTCAGCCTCTTGAGTGCTGGGATTATGGGCGTGCACCACCACGCCCGGCTGGATTTGATCTTTTCCTTTTTCTTTTCTTTTCTTTTTTTTTTTTTTAACTTTTGTTCTTGAAACAGAGTTTTGCTATGTTACCCAGGCAGGTCCTGAACTCCTGGGCTCAAGTGATCCTCCTGCCTCGGCTTCCTGAATAGCTGGGACTATAGGGTCACACCCAACTTAATCAGTTTACTTAAATTGTTATGATCAAATCTTAAATACAGTTTTGTAGGCAGATTTTTCACACACCCATATCATTTGTGATGGCCATTTAATGCTCTGTGCCATATTTTACTCACCGAGTTTATCTAGGTGGACGCCTTCCTCCTGTTTACCTATGAGTTTGAGACCTCCCGTGCAAGCCTGATCAGTGAGCCCCAGTGGGAGCAGGCAGAGGAGGACGGGACAGGCACTCGCTGGGTGGGACAAGTTGGACTTGTGACCTTGCAGCAGCAGCCCTTCTGCCTCACTGCACTGGGTGTGGGGGGGGGCATTGGTAGACCAGGCTGGGCCTCTCTGTCCTGCCTTCCTGGCAGTGATGGGTCAGCTCTTCCCCGGTGCCATCCCTCTGCCAGGCAAACAGCACTTTCCAGCACCACCAACCAAGACTTCACGGCTGCGGCCCATTTCCTCCCAGCCTGAGGAGAGAAAGTAGGTCTACAGGAAGAGAGGCTGCCTCGCCCGCCTTCCGCTGTCCCCTGGGTGGAAGAGGTAGTTGGCGGCCACAGCGGGTGGGCTTGGCCGTGGCGCTCGCTCAGCCTGGCCCGGAGGGCGGTGGTCAGGTGCAAGAAGGGGCTCCCTCTCCTCCTTGCTGAGAGAGGCCTCTAGCTCGGCCCTCTTCCCCACCTCGGTGAGCAGTCGTTTGAAGAGAGCTTGTTCTGCTGCCGGCCACATTCTGTAGCTCAGAGGAGAGGACTGAGATCTTTTGCCAGTCTGATGTAGTCTTGGGTGAGGAATTCAGGGGGGGACGTTAGCGACAACATTTTCAACCAGAAGTGGAACGCAGAGGGTTTTGACATCGTCCTAGGTGGCCAGAGGCAGGGCCAGGAAACGTCATCTTACACAGCAGAACCAGAGCACGCTAAAACGGTTGCTGAGGGCCTGCGTCAGAAGGTTTGAAGCTGCTGCAGACCCCTCTTGCATACCAGCTATTGGGAAATACTTGTCAGGGGTGATTATTTTCTGTACCGTATGAAACACCCCCCCACTGTGATACTGCAGATTGGACCCAGGGCCTCCCGCTGAGCTACAGCCCCAGCCCTTTTTATTTTCTACTTTGAGACAGAGTCCCACTAAGTTGCCCAGACAGGCCTCAGAGTCCTGATCATCCTCCTCAGCATCTTGAGTGCCTGGGGTTCCGGGTGCCGGGTTCCACCCCTCTGTCATGGAAGGCGGAGGGAATCCACGATGGCAGCCCCGGCACCCGGACTGGGGTCACAGCTCACTTCTTCCACTGTTCTCTCACCCACAGCGTACACAGACTTCTTCCTGCCGCTGCTGAGTCGCTGCCCCTCTGCCATGGGGATAAAGAACAAAGACGGGGAGACCCCTGGGCAGATTCTGGGCTGGGGGCCCCCCTGGGACTCTGCTGAGGAGGAGGACGATGATGAGGCCTCCAAGGAGCGGGAGTGGAGGCAGAAGCTGCAGGGCGAACTGGAGGACGAGTGGCAGGAGGTCCTCGGGAGGTTCGCAGGTGAGGGTCCGGTGCCATCCACGCTGGCCTGCCCGTGCCCACGGCATGGGTGCCCACGGCATGGGTGCCCACGCTGGGCTGCTCTGCGCTTCCTGCCTGTCGTGCCCCGTCATCTGTTCGCCGCCTGTCTGACCGCCCCTCCCACCTCCCCAGCAGACGATGCTGCCCGGGACACCCCGGAACCCGAGTCCTTCGCAGCCTGGTCGGACCGCCTGGCGCGGGAACATGCCCAGAAGAGCCAGCAGCAGCAGCGGGCAGCAGGATCCTGCCGACCTCCGCAGGCCCCGGGTGCCGGTCACAGCTGGCGACAGCAAGAGGAGGAGCAGCGACTCTTCCGAGAGCGGGCCAAGGCCAAGGAGCAAGAACTGCGTGAGAGCCGAGCCCGGAGGGCCCGGGAGGCTGGAGGGGACCGCGGGCCAGAGCCGGCCAGGGCCCGGCCGAGGGCAGAGCAGCCTGGAGGAGCGGGGAGGGGCAGCCTGTGGCGCTTCGGTGATGTGCCATGGCCCTGCCCCGGCGGAGGGGACCCGGAGGCCATGGCCGCAGCCCTGGTGGCCAGGGGTCCCCCCTTGGAGGAGCAGGGGGCCCTGAGGAGGTACTTGAGGGTCCAGCAGGTCCGCTGGCACCCTGACCGCTTCCTGCAGCGCTTCCGGAGCCAGATCGAGACCGGGGAGCTGGGCCGCGTGATGGGGACCGTGACGGCCCTTTCTCAGGCCCTGAATCGCCACGCAGAGGCCCTCAAGTGACCCCAGGGGAGCAGGAAACGATTGGGTGCAGCTCGGGCAGGAGGAGAGGGCGGAGGAAGGCGAGGACCATGGCAGCGTAACTGGGAGCGCAGGGGTGCGGCCGCGTGGGCCTCTGCCTCACTCCATTCCGCTGTTTCCAAATAAGCACTGCTCCACGTCCCACTCCCAGGCTCCTCTGCCTTTTTCCATCGCTATGGTTTTCACCACCCATGACATCTCCTTTCCCGCCGCCGCTGAAAGCCGCAGCTCCTACACAGCGGGTGCACACAGCAGCCCCAACCCCAGCCCCAGCCCCGCCTGGCACCCTGGGGCCGGCCCTGCCACCCAGCACGCCCTCCGCGCCCTCCGCCTTGCTGGCCTGGTGTGGGGGTCCTGCCCACCCCGGAGTCTGCGGCTGGAGAGAGAGGTGTGAACAGAGGCGAAAGGGGAACGCTACCAGTTTCCCTCCCGCCCCCCAGCTCCCCAGGCAGAACCACATCCTCCTCCCCACCTGACACCCCTTCCCCGACACAGGGCTTCCCCTCTGCTGAGTCACTGAATGAGCGAGTTGGGGGCAGCCAGTGTTGGGGGGATCATGAGGCCGGGGGAGGACAGGATAGCAGTGGGATGGATGGAGGAAGAGCGGCCTGGGGAAGAAGAATTTCAGTCGCTAAAATTAGCAGCTGGGGAAGGAGGCGGAAAGAGCCGAATTATGTAACCTGGGTTCTCTGTTCTGAGGCAACCAGAGGTCCACACCCCGGGTCAGGCTGCAGGGGCCCCGTCCTCGGCTCCTCCATCCGCCTCTGCCCCACCCCAAGCCTGGGCCTTCCCTCAGGGCAGCCCAGGCTCGCCGGCAGACGCCCCCTTCCACGGAACTGGCGGCCGAGGGCCTGAAGGCTAGAGGGGAGGGCCTGGGACTCTCTGGACAAGAGGATCCGCCTGGCCCGCTGTCCGGCCGCCGCTTCTGCCCCAGCTGCCTGGTAACAGCCGGGAGACTGTAGCCCTGGCCGTGCCGCCATCACCCTGAGACGGTGGGCTCAAAGAGAGAACAGACTGGGGAGTGCACAGCACCTTCCGTGCTGTGGGAGCCCCCGTCAGAGGGTCTTCCTAAGCAGGCCTGAGCCCAGGTCTCCACGGGAGGGCCCGGCAGGGCAAGTGGAGGCTGACAGAGGACGGCAGAGCAGGGGGAGCCGCCGGGGCCGGGATGGGCAGGAGGCCCTCGGAGAAGACAGCCTGCACTTAGGGAGAGGCCAGCCGAGGGCCGGGCAGATGTGGGGGCGTAGGGAAGGTGGGGGAGAGGATCCTTTGAGAGGAAGCTGCTGTGATTCAGAGAAGAGCTTCGCGCTGAGCGGCCCAGGCGTCCGGTTCCTCTCACAGGCCGGGGGTTCGGAAGTGGCATGCAAAGAGCCCGGGTCTGGGCCGGGGGAGTCAGGGTTCAGATCCCTGCGCTGGGTGGGGGTTGGGAAGCGACGGAAAGCGGGCGTCCACGCTTGCTCCTGCACCCTGGAGGCCCTGTAGTTTTCGGTTACATAATTTTCCCTTCTGCAGGGTCACGTAAAACCAGAGCAAGATAGGCCCTGGTCCCGGGGCCCCCAGAACCCCCCTTGCCTCAACGTCCCTTCCTGGTGTCTGGCCCCCAGCCCTCTGGGGGTTCCCCTGAGATAAAGGCTGTTCACTTTCTCTGACCACACAGTTTCCGCTTCTGTGTCGCTCGTTTCCTAGGCCGATAAAAATACTGAGCCCCAGAGGCCCTGGCTTCCTCTGACCCCCTGGTGCAGGCAGCAGGCATCCTGTCCACCATGGCGGGCGCTGGGCCGGCCCAGGGATCCCCAAGGGTGACTCAGGGCCTCCCGTGAGACGCTGGGGAGGTGGAAGTGTGCGATCTCCGTTCCCTCACGCTGGAACCAAGATTGGGCTCAGTGGACGATGTTGGGGTTCAGTTTGAGAAACAGGGTTGGGAAGAGAGCGGTGAGAGGGAAGGGGGTGGGTCGGGGGATTGGGTCACGACCAGCCCGGGGTTAAATTGGGAAACATCCGAGAGGGATTCTGTTCCATGCAGGTCTGTGAAGCGCCATGCGGCCCTAAGATAGATCCAAACCCTGCTTCAAGTGTGCGGTCCACGGGGGCAGCCCCGACGTCCCTGCCGGGTGGAAGGCGCTGGCTGAGCACCTTTACAGCAGGGCCCACTGGGTACAGCCGGGAGGCTCCCAGGAGGGGCAGCCTCTCAGCAGGCCTGGCCAGCAGGCAGGTTCTCGGGGCCTGGTGGAAGGAAAGTCTTGGGGGAACCTTCAACAGAACTGGGAAGTCAGAAACACGGTGTGGCCAGGCGTGACAGCGCACACCTGTAATCCCAGCATTTGGGAGGCTGAAGCAGGAGGATCGTTGTAAGTTCAAGCCTAGCTTGGGCTACAAAGTGAGTTCAAGCCTGGGCTACAAAGTGAGCTCAAGGGCAGACTGGGCTACAAAGTGAGCTCAAGGGCAGCCTGAACTGCATAGAGAGACCCTGTCTCAAAAAGACCAAAAAAAAAAAAAAAAAAAAAAAGAAAGAATGAAACATGGTGTGTGCAGGAGAAGCTGCATCCTGGGGTGGAGGAGGCACAGGTGAGAGGACGTGAGCTGAAGAAAGGGCCCCAGAATACCAAGTGAGGTCAGGGGTTGGGCTTTACCCTGCGGCGGTGGCCCTGGGGACATCCGCAGAGGGACAAGTGCAAGCGCAGGCCCGGAGGGAAGACATCACCTTCAGCCTTCGAAGGCCGCCGTGTGCTCCCAGCCCTTCCCTGTAACCAGGCATCCTGCCGTGGGGGCTCAGGAGGCGGTGCCCCAAGTGTCTCAGCTGGGCATGCCGAGGGCCCTGAAGGCAGGAGAGTGACAGGACTGAGCAGAAAGTCTCCCCTGACCTTTTCTGCCCTCCTGTCTTCCTCAGCCTTACTCCCCACAAAGCAAGTCAGAAAGACCAGAGCTCCACTTCCCCAAAGCCATAGAAACTAGAACTCCTCTTTCACGAAACCGGCCATGAAACCTAGAAGTACTCTAACTTTCCTCCCGCCTTTCCGTGTAAGAGCTGGCCACGCTGGTTATGTAATTCTTGGCCAGTAAGTAGGTCATAAAACCCTCGTTCCAGGGGGTCCTGCCCCATACCCAAGGGAAGGGCTGCCACACTGACAGGATGCTGAACAAGCCTTGCTGGGTTTTCCCACTCAGCCAGTGCCCACTAATTAGATCACACCCTTTTCATCTAACCACATTTTGACATGGCTGTTCATCATCAAATCTAAGCATAAATAGGGACAGTTTTGCTGTGTATGGTGGCACACACCTGTAATCCCAGCTACTCAGGAGGCTGAGGGAGGGGGATCACACATTCAAGGCCAGCCTGGGCAATTTAGCCAGACCCTTTCTCAAAATTAAAAAAGGAAAAATGGGCTTGGAAGCCTGGGTGTGGTAGCTCACACCTGTCATCTCAGCACTCAGGAGGCTGAGACAGGAGGGTCCCTGTGAGTCCACGGTCAACCTGGGCTGCATAGGGAGACCCTGTCTCAAAACCAAAGGTGGGGGGCTTGGGATGTAGCTAAATGCTCCCTGCATTCAGTCTACAGTACTTAAAGTTTTCCCTGGTCTTTGGGTCTTCATTTCTGAAGGCCCCTCTGTCACATAAAACTTTGATGAAATAAATTTGTTACGCTTTTCTCTTCTGAACCTGCCTTGCTACAGGAGTGTGGGCCACGCCCTTCATGAGGGCCAGGGAAAGGGGTTTACACTTTCTGCCCCTGTGCTGTCAACCTCCGTGCGGGTGAGAAAACCGAGGGCCGTGAGGCCTGCTGTAACCTGAAAAAAGGAGAGGAATCAGCATAAACTCATCCGACTCAGACTCACACGCCTTCTACTCAAGTCCCAGGAACCCCAGTGTCATCAGAGAAGGGAACAGGTTACCAGCGTGGAGGGGACACAAAGCCATGGCACGTGGCTGGTGATGTGGCAGAGAAAGAAGAATCTTAGGTGACTCCAAGATATGAAAGTGGAGCACGGGAGAGAGTGTGAGGGCCTGCACTGGGGAGAGGAGCAGAGATGAGGAGGACGCGAATCCTACCCCGCGCTGTGAGTAAGCTCCAGTCGGGAGCAGAGCACCGCCAGGCACAGGAGCAGACGAGGAGGTCTCTCTCACAGAACCTGTGCGCGCACATGCAGAACAAAAAACGAATGCAGAGCCGGGCGTGGTGGCGCACACCTGTAATCCCAGCATTCGGGAGGCTGAGGCAGGAGGATCAGAGTTTGAGACCAGCCTGGGCTACACAGTAAGCTCAAGGCCAGCCTGAACTGCACAGGGAGTCCCTGTCTCAAAAGACAAAAAAAAAAAAACCCACGGGTAATGACTACAGCCATACGCAACTGCTCAGAGCAGGCCTGCTGAGCTGCAGACATTTTCAGCAAGCACCACTGGAGCCCCAGCCTGGGCCAGAGGAGCAGACTTGGGCACAGTGGCCTTCCCAACTGAGGCTGAGACTGCGAGGGAAGGGAGCCATCGGGAGAGAAGGCAGAGGGACCCAAGGAGCCCAAGGGTGAGCAGAGGAAGAGGAACTAGTCAAAGGAGGTCAGGAGCAGACGTGCAAGCAGGGCAGGGCCCAGGGATGCAAGCAGACACTGGGCAGCTGTGTCCGGGGCCACCGAGAGGTCTGCAGGCACCAGGCGCCGCCGTGCACGCCTGTTAGCCCAGCTGCCTGTGAGGCTGAGAAGCTTGAAGCCAACCCGGGCACCTTAAGGAGACCCGGTCTCAAAAAGTGGGAAGGGAGGAGCGATGCAGCTTAGCCCTCCCTGGGTCCAATTTCCCAGTGCGGGGGGGGGGGGGGTGTCTGATAGGTGAAGGTTGAAAAGGACCTTTCGGGTTAGGAACGAGAGGATTACAAATCTTGAGAACAGTTTCTGTTTCGAAGAGGGGCAGAAGCGGCTTTACCCAGGATGAAGAATGAGTGGGAGGGAGGCCAAGGAGGCGCTGGCTACAGAGTCACAGCACGATGCCTGCAGGAGATAACTCAGAATTGTCTCTTGGTTCTGCCCACAAATGTGACAGATGAGGAAAATTTTACCAGTTCCTGAAAACGGGTTAGTCAGAGGTCCGTGCGTGAACCGGAGCACAGAAAGGGAAGGTGAGAGATGAACGGGTGTTCAAGGACAACGACAAGTGCAAGGAGGGTTTCGGGGGTTTACTTTCTTTTTTCTTTTTTTCCGCAGGTTTACTTTCTTTTTTTCTTTTCTTTTTTTGTCTCTTTGAGACAGGGTCTCACTATGCAGTTCAGGCTGGCCTTGAACTCACTTTGTAGCCCAGGCTGGTCTCAAACTCGCAATGATCCTCCTGTCTCAGCCTCCCAAGTGCTGGGACTGCAAGGGTGTACTTGTTTTGTTTTGTTTTTGGTGTTTCCCATCACCCCAAGGTGGGATGGCAACACACAACAATCCTGAACACACAACAATCCCACAAGGTGGGATGTTCCCATCACAACGATCCTCCTGCCTCAGCCTCCCAAGTGCTGGGACTGCAAGGGTGTACTTGTTTTGTTTTGTTTTTGGTGTTTCCCATCACCCCAAGGTGGGATGGCAACACACAACAATCCTGAACACACAACAATCCCACAAGGTGGGATGTTCCCATCACAACGATCCTCCTGCCTCAGCCTCCTGAGTGCTAGGATTACAGGCGTGCACCACCACACCCGGCCAGAGTTGAAGCTCTTGAAGTGGCAGTCCTTCCACGTGACGTGAAGACCTTTAGTGATAGGAAGGTGAGACCTTGCTCTCACCTTCCCTTTCTGTGCTCCGGTTCATGCATGGACCCCTCACTAACCCTCTTTCAGTGCCAAAGCCTGGCACTCAGGAGGCTGAGGCAGAAAGATTGCCACAAGTTCAAGGGCAGCCTGGGTTACACAGTAAGACCCTGTCTCCCCCCAAAAAAGTGTATATATATTTTTTCAGTATCCTCTTCTTTTACCATCCTTCCATTTTACAAACATGTTCACTTTTATTTCTTGAAAGTAAACCCCTCAAGGCCAGGCGTGGTGGCACACCCTTGCAATCCCAGCACTTGGGAGGCTAAGATAGAAGGCTCATTGTGAGTTCGAGACCAGCCTGGGCTACAGAGTGAGCTCAAGGCCTGGGGGCAGGTACTTGGAATTGAACTCAGGACCTTGCACTTGCCGGGTAGGCGCTGTTCCACTGAGCTATATCCCCAGCTTGAAAATATTTTTTTCCTGAGGGAGAATACAGAAAAGAAAAAGGACAAAAAAAAAAAAAAAAAGAAAGAAAGAAAAAGGACAGCTGGGTGTGGTGGTGCACACCTGTAATCCCAGCATTCAGGAGACTGAGGCAAGAGTATTGCCATGAGTTCAAGGTTAGCCTGAACTACATAGTGAGACCTTGCCTCAAAATAATGTAAGTAGGGCCAGGGATATAGCTCAGCGGCACAAGCACCTGCCTGGCAAGCTCAAGCTCCTGAGTTCAATTCCTGGTACCAAAAACAAAACAAAACAAAAACAACTGTCAGGCATGGTGGTACATGCCTGTAATCCTAGCACTTGAGAGGCTGAGACAAGAGGATTGTTTTGAGTTCAAGACCAGCCTGGGCTACAAAGTAAGCTCAAGGCCAGCCTGAACTACACAGCCAGATCCTGTCTCAAAAAGACGAAAAAGGGGCTGGG